TTCCGAATGTTCTAAGATGTTCATCATCAGAAGTTCATTATTTATATCTTAATAACTCCCAAAAACATCAAAATACAAAGCGTCGGTCAAATTAGTTGCGAAATTGTCCAATTATTTTAGAAAATTTTAATCTGTTTAAGCTTTGGAGTTCTCTAGCCTCTAGCAATGTTCTTTGCCAGTGTTCCGCCACTGTCACGAATCGCCTCGCTCGCTTTGATACTCAGTTTGAACCCGGGGACAGCTAATCATGTCATACCACTCTTTTGATCCATAACTCGACAAGAATCGTGCAGTGCGAAATACATAGAAAAGAAACGTAGACTATCTCGAAAACAGAACGTTATCAACAACGATCAGAACCACAGTGGATGAGAGTGAGTACGATATAACTGGCCACTGAACTGAAAGCAATTGAAGCAAAAGAGACAGATCATGAGCAGCTAAAGAATCAAGTTATGGAGAATAGTGCTTTGTTCTTAAAGTTTAGGTCCTTTGTCAGTTGTTCTTCGACTACGTTAAGTCGCTGTATTGTTGAAAGACTGGACAATTGGATAGTGTCATAACTGCGGGGCCACTTTTAGACCTTCCCAATTAACGAATACAGTAAGTGATCCCTTTCAAAAATTAGGAATTCGTTTACAGGTTCAATCACAAAAACGCAGTGAATCATATGTAGAATAAATACCGGAAATTGCGGATCCGAATGAAAGACCAAGCTTGCGTGTCTGGTGGGTCACATGAAACATGCAACCGTTATCCGTCACAGAACACGCACTAGATAAGGGAAATCCATTCAGCAAGACTGATTCGTCTATTTTAGACACGGATGAACATCATTTAAGTTATTAGTTGAAACAGTAGAACATTCATATGGCAGTCAACAAAGTTGTGAAATAACAGTCACCTGACACTTCTCCGGGTTTATACGGAGTAAAGCGTCATAGCGCTGCTTCTGGTAGCCTAGGGAGACCGTTTAGGCAAGCCAAGGCTCCATGGTATCTTAGCATCTCCGGTTCACTGGCGGAAACAGCACCGCTTGTTGGCTAAAACAAGCACATGTATTTACAGGCGGTACTGAAATCTAACAATCATAACACCGGAGTTTGATTTTAAAATATATGCCCACGAATTGATGCATATTTGTTGGTGTTCGAACCAACAAGTGGTTCTGTTGTGCGCCGATACACTGAAAGTGTAGAAATTCCATGGAACCGTGGCTCGCTTAAATGGTTTCCTAGGCTACTAAAAGCAAGTGGACGGTTTGTGACG